AATATCTGCAGTCTTGAACACTCTTGCCTGGGTTTATTAAAAATATGTACTATGTAATGTACAATATATAAAGCACACAAACATAAAATGTAAGTATACGTAAATTAAAAATACAAAAAATAGACAAGAATTCAAGGAGAATTGGAGACGTTAACCAGATGGCAGTTTTTCAGGTTTTACCTTGTTCTCTCTGAAGCATTTCAGACTACTTAGTCATGCCAAAAATGGACAAAAAGGGAAGCTGTTTTTTAATAAGATCGATGTAATTGTGTTTTGAAAAGGGGAAAAGAAAAAAATGCTGAAAATGCTGACCTTTTTGCTTTACTGAAACTATTTAGTAATTAGATTGAGACTGCAGTTTACAGGGTTCGGACACAGATTTTTACATGAGCAGGGCCTCTGTTTGGTGCTTTTAGTGGGGGAGTGAAGGCATATTTTGGAAGCTTTGATTTCATTATTTTTTTAATCTAAAAATCTATGCTTGCTTTCCATGCTGTTAGATTTATATCATGTCATAGTTCTATTATATATGCACACTGAGTAAGAGAATGTGCAAGTGCTAGTCTTTGTGTAACTTAGTTTCTCCCATTGCATTTGTTTAAAAGTGAGAAATAAATATACAAATGCAAACATTATTTAATATCTGAAGTCCACCAGTAGGTATCAAGAAATAAAGACCTGACAGTCCTTGGACCCTCTGGATAGACTTGCCAGCAAGGTGAGCATGAGGCCAGGAAGTTTTGAAGGCCAACATGCAGCTAAGGGATGGTATTAGCTCTTGACTACTACCCATTTGACCAGATTGAATTTACTAACCAAAAGCATTCTGTGTGATGTTAGCACTCTTCAGAGCCATATACTCTGTCAGCCCTTTCATTTTAAATATGTATTGCTTTTAGAAAAGGAAGTTTACTTTGCACTGTTTCGATTTCCTTAATACACATTAAATGGGATAATCCTTTTAAAGTCACTAACTGAGGTGTAGATGAGGAAGTAGTTTGTGCCTCTTCCTTACTTCAAGGGACACAGTGTCTCAAGATCATGCTGTCGTGGTTTGAGCCTGGTCGGCAGCCAACCACCATGCAGCCACTCTCTCTCCCTTCTCTTCCAGCAATAAGAAGGGACAGAGAGCCAGGCTTGGGGTTCGAGATAGGACTGGGATGGGGAAAAAAAAATCACCCTTTATGGTCACAAGCAAAAGGCAGACTTGTTAGGGGAAGAAAAAAAGAACATACATTTATTACAGACACTAACAACTCTTAACAGAGTAGGACAGTGAGAAGCATTGCCACATCTTGAGAACAACTTCCCCCCACCCCTCCCTTCTTCTGGGGCTCAGTTCTACTCCCAATATCTCTACTTCCTCCCCACAGCGGCACAAGGGCAGGGAATGGGGGGGTGCAGTCAGTGCTGCCGCTTCTTCCATCTTCGGTGGGGGGAGCTTCTGGAACTTGTTCCCTCTGCTCCATTGTGGTCCCCCTCTCACAAGAGACAGTCCTCCACAAACTTTCTCTGATGTGAGTCCCTCCCACGGGACACAGCATTCCCCACACTGCTCCATCGCAGGTCACCAACTTTCTCCAACTGGAGTCCCTCCCACAGCTGCAGCCCTTCCCGAGCTGCTCCGGCGTGGGACACTCCCGCATGCTGCAATCCTCCCAGCATTGAATTACAACAGCGGGGGCTACCTTTTCCCACAAGACCCCAGCCTTCTTCAGACACAGCACCTTGATCATCCAGGCGAAATGAAACACAGGGCATAAATCAGTGTCTGCTCCACCGTAGATCTTCATGGGTGGTGGAGAGGGCTGCCCTGCCATCTCACCACAGGATACAGGGGAGTCTCTGCTCTGGCACACCTCCCCTCTCCTTTCTTCCTCTGTTCCTCCACTGACCTTGGTGTTCACGCAGCTGCCACAACTCTTCCTCACAAGTCCCACTGCTCATCACCACATCCCTTAAATACATTATCGCAGAGGTGAAACTGATTGGCTCAGTTTTCAAACAGAGGTGGAGCTGACCTGGAGCTTCAAGAAGCTTCTCACAGGGGGATGCCCCTATAGCCCCCTCCCCTGCCACCAAAAAAAAAACCCCACCACTCACTCAACCCAGGACACATGCACACATGGTGCAGGTACAAGGTATGCTACTCATTCATATTAACCCATTCAGCATGCATTGAGTGCCACAGAATTAAAACGGTGTTTAGAAAACAGGTAAGATTTTGCTTCTCTCTTTGGTGTAATATCTTGAAAACACTCAACTCATGATGAGGACAAAGGAGATCCCCTTCTATATCATAAAAGCTGTACTTATTAATGGGAGGACAAAACCAAATGTTGATTTAGTATGTGGCTGAGTAAAAATATAAAATATCTAAGATCTCATTTACTTGCCATTCATAGCAATTCAGTAACTCAGAAATGAACTGAATCTATCTTCCTTAACTCAGGGATTAATTTAACCCAAGAACACAGGCAGTTTGTGTTCCGCACGTGTGAACGGTCTACAGCTTTTCTCTGTTATTAGTCTGGTTTCAGCCATTTTAAGCAATTACATTATATTTTGTTCACATCTTTTGGCTTTTACCCTTTTTCATTTCCGCCTTCTCATGCCAGACCCTTAATCAGCCTCTCTGGGAACTTACACAGCTCCCATGACCACTGCATACGAACACCTCACAAACATTAATGCTTTTTTATCTTTACTGCACCCTTGTGAATAAGAACAGTGTTAACTCGCATTATACAGAGAAGGAGCAAAAGGACAGAGAGATTAAATGACTTGCCTATCAGTGGAAGAGAAATCTGTAAAACATCAGGAACTGAAGGAAAACACACAGAGTGCCTGGCCGACGTGTTAACCCCATGTACCTCCTTCCTACCCTCTGCCTGTTGCAGAGCACAAACAGCCTCAAGCACTTGTCAATCTGTCTGGGCATGAAGAAGACTGTTGATGTCGTGGAATGGAGGTGCCTGTGCTGGGATTCTGGTATCGCTCACCAGTGGCGAGAAAGCAGCTCTCCCAAAGGCTAGTGGAGAGAATCAAAGTTGGGATCCCCTCTCTCTTTCCCTCTCTCCCCCTCTCTCAACCACCTCGAGCACCTGGGCTTCTAAATCAAGCACCCAAACCAGCTCTCTGAAGTAGATAGTATGAGTCATTTAGCTAACTTAAAATGCCCTGTACTGATCCACAAAGAGAATCCCCAAAAGTTTTTTATGTCTCACCTACCCACACATATGGATCACTCATCATAGTAGTATCTGAATGCCTGGTCTAATCAGTCACATCAATTTCTGTGTTTAAAAAACTGAATTGTGACTAATGGTTGTTGCACTCATTTCTAGTTTCTTCTATTTATCCAACATGAAGAATTCCATTCTGTGACCATAAGGAAAGGTGGGGCGGGATATGAGCAAGCTCTACAAATTCTGCAACAGCTCCCACCTCTCCTGCAACCCACTGACTCTGCATGGCACATTATCTGCCTATTGATAATCCTTTATCATGTTCTGTAATAAAATCACACTTTCCCACGTGCTGCTTTTCTTTTCTCTTCTCTTGTGAGATGTTGGGGGTTTAACAACTGTTAGTAGTTTGATTTCTTCTCTATGGCTCTGCAAGGAAGCCAGGACAGACTTTGTGGTAACCGAAGGTTACCTGGTCTCTTTGTCCTTGTTTTGGAGAGCACCATTTACACAAACATAAACAACTGTACGTGTGTATCTGGCACTGCTCAGATATTTCCCTCTCCTCCATCCTCCCACCCCACATAATGGGATGGAAGAGCATGAGGCGCCTCTGACCTGCCCACCTGCCTATACACCGGCAACTCTGCATCCTTCTCTGTGGGTGGGCGTGCGCCTGCAGGGAGGTTGTCATGGAAGAAGGGGTGTCACCTCCCCTGCGCCTCTGTGCAGGAATGTGATCAGATTCGCTGGGGGGACCACCACAATTTTGGAGTTAAAGTTTTATAGAACATTTGTTTGGTATTATAAACATCTGCAAATGACTATTTATTTCATGAAGTAATTAACATTCCTAATTAGATGCACCTTGCAGCTGCTGTTAATCTTAATTGGCAATAATGCAGTTACATTTTGATACATATCTTCAGAAGAGTTACAGAGGAGAAAAGGGGGGGGGGGGTGGAAAGAAAGAAAAATCTGAAGGGAAGGAAATAAAACTGTTCCCACACAGTTCAGAGAGTTCGCACAAAGAAGATCCCATGGCAACAGCGAGGCCCACAGTTTGCCTTATAAAAATCCAAGAATAGATAATGTATCATCTCTCCTAAAACAACACTTCGCTTCGGAAACTGGAGGGGAAGGGGGGGAAAAAAAACCCCAAAAAACAACAAAAACCCACAACAGGAAAAGGGAAGCAGGCTAAGCCCGGCTCGTGTTGCCCTCCTCCCACCCCATCCCCAGCCAGCCGGGCGCGGCGCAGCCCCAGCGCTGCGGGCGGGCGGGCGCTCCCCAGGACTTTCTCCAGGATCCCTTCCGAGGGACCCTCCTCTCCCCACCGCCCCTCACCAAAAAAATAAAAAAAAAGAACACTCCCCCCCCCCCAAGCCCTCCCTCCGCCCCCCGAGGCCGGCGCGGGCGGGGCGGGGGGGGGGGGTACGCGGCCGGGCGCGCGCCGCGGCGCCCATCGGGTGGCAGCAGCGGCCCCTCCTGCGCCGGCTGGCGGCCCGGCGGGCGCGTGCGGCCGAGCGAGCCGGTCTCGTGGGCGCGGGGGAGCCGCTCGTGCGCCGCCGCGCCGCTCCGCGTCTTCTCGCTTCTCGCTTCCGCGGCTCCTCAGGATATTTCGGGTGGATCGTGGTTACCAACCAAGACCTCCTCCTCTTCTCTGCTGACCACTTGTCATTTTCACCGGGGATTAGTATCGTTCGGGGCAAGCGGACAAACGATTTTGTTTTTTTCCTTTCTTCTTTTCCTTTTGGAGATTTGCCCCCCTCCTTACATCTTTTTTTTTTTTTTTTTTTTTTTTTTTTTTTAAAATCTTGTGGCGTGGTAGCGAGGGTGCTAGGACCCGGCAAGCACCCGCCCCCGCCACCCCCCCCCCACCCCCCGCCGCAGCGCTTTCCCCACAGCCGCCCGGCACCAGGAAACCCCGCCGGCCCGCCGCTCGCCGAAGACTTGAGCGCGGCAGCCCGGATCCGGCCCGCGGCGGCAGCGCGGGGCGCGGAGCTGCCCGCGGGAGGCGCGGCGGCCCCCCTCCCCCAGGCCGGCCGCCCCCTCCTCTCTCTCCCCTCCACCCCCCGACCCCCCCCACACCCCCCACCGCACCTGGATGGTACCTCCCGCCGGCGACGCGGGCACTTTCTGAACTAAGAAGGAAGGGGCGACTCGGGGCGGGGGGCGGGGGGGGCCGCCGAAGTCTGTATGGAATTACCTGCGCCCGCGGCGGAGCTGGCAGCGGCGGATGGATGGGCGCCGCGTCCGCGGCACTCGCGGCCAGCTCAGCCCCAGGAGTAAACACGGGGCTTCTCCGGGCGAGTGCGCAGTGTGGTGACCGGCACTCGCCTCGCTGACTGATCGCACCGGAGGGATCTGTCGGGAGACTCCTGTGGGTAAGGTCATTTTATCCAGGCAAAAGCCCGGCATTGCTAAACTTGGTGGCGTGTGGTTGAAATGGGTACTTTCAGGATTGCTGCATTACCCTGATGCGAGGGGCTCCAGCCGTTATTGGCAGTTGAGTGGAATAACTGCAGTAGGTCTTCTGGTGAGTGCTTTCTGCGATAAATAATAATAAAAAAAAAATTAAAAATCTCCTCCGCCCTCTCTATTCTTGCACCCTCCGGATTTGGGAGCATACTGTAAAAGCAAGGAGTCTCTCATTTACCCCCCTTTTCATTTTTTTTTTTTTTTCTCCTTTTTTCCCCCGATGGTTAATATTTTTTGACCGAAAAGGCTATGTGATAGTAAAGAAACTCTCCGTGATGGAATCTATTTATTTTGAGATAGGATCCCATCCGCTGGTTAAAAAAAATATTTCCAACTCTGTGCAGCATTCTGCTGCATTTCATAGCTGCAGTGGAGGGAGAGAAATCCTGCTTTTCAAGTTGTTAAACTTTAAGGTGGCGATCCTTATTTGATCGTGGTACAGTGCTTTGGTGCTAAGGGGGTTAAATGCCACTGATAATTTGGGATTACAGCTGTTCCTGTAAATCCTGTAAGGAAATTATAAATTGAGGAACGTTAAGGAAAAAAAAAATCTAATAGCAGAAATATCATAGATGTCAGCAGCCTGAAAAATCTCTCATCCACCTGCTCTTATGAAATATTTTTTTCACCCGGTAACTTACCTACTGAAACCTCAGACCACGTGTAGGGGAGTGGAAGATTTGCAAACAGAGATGCTATCTTCGGTATTTCATACATATATGCATCTGGCTGAGGGGCTGTGTGTGAATTAATTCCTCTGTTAGTTGTGTGAAGCGAGGCAGGGAGGAAAAGGAGAGGAAAGATCGTCTTCTTAAGAACAGAAGCGAGCAAGGGAAGCACTTCAGCCTTCAGAGATTTAAAGGGATCCAAGCAATGCACGTTGGTAATCTTTCTCTGCAAAACCAGTTCTGATAGAGGGAATGGGGGAAGGTTGAGGGAATCGATAGTGATGACGTTGTGCAGTGCAATGCACTGCAATGCTAAAGTTATATAGTGTGCGCGAAAATATATACCCTCATGTACTGCTGGTGGGTTCATGCATAATGGATGGAAGAAGATATGCAGATCTATCTGTAGGAAGATGGATGTATTTGTGCAAAGACGGCGATTATGTAACTTGATTACATCAGTGGCATCAGTCGCTGATAGTGGAATAATACGATGCTCATATAGTGTATCGATTACTTGGATTAACTTTGTAGCGCTCCCGACAGCAAGGGATGGAGACCTGGGCAGGGGAGGGGAGATCCTTGCTCAGCTCCTGACAAGGGGTTTGCCTCTTGCAGGCTGCCTTTTGCATCCGTGTGCTCCTGGTGGAGTTTCCCCGGGACAGGGAGTCCAGGAAGGAGGAGGCTGCCTGGTTGCTAATTCAGCCACACCCGTGGAGAGGGCTCCAGAAAAGCCCCTGCAAGGCTGCACAATGGTCCCATTGAGCAGATCTGGCTGCGTGCTTCTCGGCAAGGTCACACAGCAACCTGGGACTTCAGTGCATGGCAACAGCTGAGCGGAGGAGGAACAAAACCGAAATTAAAATCAATCTTCCTCCCTCCTCGCCGTCGCCTACCTCCAAACATGCCATTTTGCTGACCCCTCTTCCAGTGCTCAAGGCAGAGCTGGTGCTGTTTCACCCCGAGTATGTGCGGCGCTGAACATAGGTAGTGTTGTCTCTGTCGCTGTGTGTGCAACGACTGCCTCGCAGCTTTGGCAGGATGCTGCTTCAGTATTTTTAAAGTGCAGCATGACAGACTTTAGAAAAAAGTATTGTCAGATATAACAGATAATCTACCTGTTACATTTGCAGGGAAACTAAAAGGTGGTCCATTAACACATTTCACGTGTCTCAGGAGCGAGTAGCTGAAGAGCAAAGGTGTGACAGGCAGCGTCCCATTGGTTTAACTCAGATGGACTTCTTTAGTGAATTGTCTACAGAGATAATGGTATCAGGATATACTTTTTAATATCCCTTTAAAAATCATAAATCACTATTCCTTTATCTTTGGGAGGAATGGGGGATCTGTGTGTGTGGGGTGTGTGTTGTGGAATAGTACTCCCTGAAGACAGCTAAGCTTGCAAAGGCACTACTGAGGCCCCATACCTCTAATGGATGCACTTGCTGAGGAACGTAAGCCTGATGAAATCTGAACTCAGCTGAAATGAGTGATCTTAATATCATTGGCCTGTGTCCTTCCCCAATTCACTCCCAATTCACTCTAGCAAACTTTCACTAAAATACTTTTCAGTTAAGAAGAGGTGAGGGCAGAGTGGGTTTTACATCTCTTGATAAACATGATCTCCACATACCTACCAGATTTAATGCACTATCAAACTCACAGTAATTTTATCATGGAACAAGCCTGAAAAATAATTTTTTCCTCTGCTTCCTTGAAAACATCAGTATTTTAAAGTTGGTTCACCATTCGTTCATGACTATTTTCGTATTTCTTGAGAATAAGTCTGGGCAAGTACTAATAAATCCTGCTAATGTAGTTTAGAGTTTGACATTCATAGAGTATACTGAGTAAATTGGAAAAAAAGGATATGAAGTTAACTCTGTTTCCATCCTTCAGGGGTCAGAATAACACTATGGCAACTCTTATGCATTGCTACGGCTCTTATAATTTTCAGAAATGCCCATGGCATACTCTGTTCCACCGCACACAATTACAGGCAGACACTTTCCCTTTAATTCCGTATAGGACCTGTGACATACAGGCTACATACCTGTACCACCCATCTTAAAGGAAAGCACGATTGTCTGCAGAAAGTGTTATAAAACTGCCGCTGTAAAAGAGTAGACATTGATAGTGTGGGAATATATCACGATACATTTAAACTGGCATGCAGCATGCAAGGATTTGCAAATTTAGTATAATAAAAAGTGGTAATCAACCGAGTTTTATTTATAGATTAATTTCATTGTTGCAGTTAGCAATACCCACTTGGTAAAAATAGAGGGTTTCAGCTCCAATGAAATATCCATTCAGTTTGCACCAAGTATAGCTTCTTTGAGAGGGAACTTTCCTTGCTGAAGTAAAACTGTAAATCACTCGGACAAATGAAGGGAAAATGTGAAGAGAAATATTTACATAAAACATTCCCAGGCTCCAAATCTCAGACCACTGAAAGCAGTGAGAGTTTTCCCACCCACTCCTCGCCAGCGCTGGGAAGCCGGCTTTTAAAGAAAACAGCAGTGCATGAAGAATAATCTCAGTGCCTCCCTCTCGAAGAGCAGGCATCTGACTGTTGTTATCACTGAAGACAGTAGACTTGTTTTACTGCTGATAGGAAAATTTGAAACATATGGGACAGATCTTAATGAAGCTTTTTCACTATTCAGTGATATTCTTGTAATGTATTCAGAGTACTTTTTGTGGCTATTATGTCAAACCCATGTATTGGGAAACAAAGCAAAAAATGGATAACCAACTGAGGTTTCCATTCAGTATATTTGCACTTACAGAGAAGTGTTTGGATATACTTCTGTGTTTCATAACAGCAATGGTCTTTAGCGGCTGGGAATCTTCTTAGTTTTGTATTGCAGACTGCATGATAATATGTCAACTGAAACACCCAAGCTCTGATTAATGTGATTAAAAAGTAGCAACTTATCTAGTGGTGCTCAAGTTGTAAAGTTTAATTATAGCAGCACCATTTGCACAGCTATAGATAAGGTTATGTCAGCATTTCTATTATAAACCCCTATCTTGTTGCCATCCATTGTGTCAGGGGTACATGAAATAAGAAGAATTTACAGTAGAGACCATAACGGCTGTTTTGGATTAGCGTCATGGCTCGTCAGGTCAGTAATCCATGTGTTTCTTTAAGTCTTTACAGGCACATCTACAGCAGCACGAGAGCAGCCATTATGCTCTATCAATTCAAGTGTATGGTTGTGTTATTTTAAAATGTAATTAAAAATGAGATGATGGACCACAGTGACTTAGGAGGGATCATTTAACCTGTCATTTTTCATGCACTTTTGTATTGTTTTTGTATTCTTAAAACAAAAACAAAGGAAATGCAGCAATGAATTTCACTTATGACAGCTTAAAATTAATGCACATTTGGAAGAAAGCTCTTTTGGAGTGGGGGGGAAAGGGGAGAATGAAGATGAAAGGTTGTCGGGTTTTAATGTTAATATTGAAGCTTTGCATGTTCCTTCAAGGTAGTCACATATGGAACTCCATCTATTGCAAAAGGGGAAAATCTCATGTTATTTGTAAAAGCTATGTAAGACCAGGGCAAGGAAATCAGGTAGTGCTGGTTGTCTGTTTTAACATAGGGTACTCTGTTTTTCTAGGTCTCGCTGTACCTCTATTATAGGCATTCCTAGGTCATTTAATGGTGTTATATAGCACACTATTTATGCTTCAATAACTAGGTCTGAACAAACGAACCAAGGGCATCAGTCTTACTGACTTCTGTGCTTAGAAATTTCATATTTATAAGAAGAGCACACAGACATACAATAATCTTCAGTGGTTGTAGCATCAACTACAGCAATTACGCACAAAGATTTTTTGATTGGGGATGAAGAATGAGAAAGGCAGAAAATGAAAACATTTGTTTTTTTACCAGTGCAGTAGTTATTATTTTAATTTAATTTTTAGTCTTGGGCATCATTTAGAAAATGCGTAGTGTAGCTTCTGAAAAGAATCACAGAAACCTAAGGCATGCATCAAGAAGACTGATACAATCTATACAAATTATACAATCAGTGGGCAGACAAGGGGTAATACTACTTGGTGATTGAATGGCTAGTGGTGTCAGAAAGTCTTCTGTTCTCGGGTCCTTTACATCTGTCCTCAATGAATAGTGCATTGTAAAAGAGGAAGAAGATGGAGACTAACAGAATGGGTTAAAAAAGGGGACAGAAAAGCATATAAATATAGATACACTGGTGATATAGCTTGTGTCTCTTTAGAGATGGGATATATTTCTATATTCCTTTTGTCTGTTTTTCACTAGTGAGACCCAGATGCTTGAAGTTATTGCAGTTCCCCACTCCCACTGCTCTAACTTTTTTTTTGGAGTTCTGAAACTCTTCATCACGAGGGCCATCACCTTTTTGTTTTCATGCATGTTTCCAGTCGCACAATGAGACTGTGATCTCTCAGTTGAGGTACCTCGATGTGCTTCTCCATAAAATAATAAATTAGTGGCGGGAACATGAGAGAGAGAATGTTTCTTGTTGGCTATTTTAGAAAGAAGGATATTTTATGTGAATCGAATTTTCCTCTGACAAAGCACAAACTGTTGGAATTTCCAGCAAAAATCTCTCAATGCTCTTGCTAGACTTCCTAGTGCAACTGCTGCATGAAACCTCAATATCTCAGTTTCATCTATTAAGTTCCACTTAATAATGTGTGCCTGGACTGTCAGCGGCAATTTCAGTAAACTCAATCCCAGGCAAAAGTTCAGACTGTTTCAAGGAAAATGAAGTCATGGTGACGTGCATCATTATAATGTGTGGGAAAAGCTTCTGCTGGTGAGGTTAGGAGTGAGTTTAACTGGCAGTGACCAGTCTAGGTTCCCAGACCAGTCGCCTCAGTCTGAGAATTGCTGTGCCTGAACGGTGTAAGAGACCTGCAGGTACATTCGTCCCTGCCTACATCCATTTGGCAGCGCATCTCTACTGGATTTGACTCTGAGCTCAGTGGATCATATGCCTCAAGGATAATTCCTTCACCAAGAAGATCTGTCGGTATGATGGAAACCTTGGGACAGAGCCACTATGTCTGCAGAGGGATGTGTTTGGCCAGGATGCTTTTGTGTGGCTCTGATCCCTGGCAACAATTTTAGCCCTGTGTCTGTCAGGTTGCAGTTCTATGCATGGAATTTCAGGATGGCAGCAGAGCACAGCTGTTACCATATAGCACCTTGGCATTCCTGCATCC